TGAGTACAACACATATAGCAATTTGAAACTTAAAATCCTTTAGTCTAATGTCTAACAATCAATTTTGAGGTACAAAAAGTACTCATTTACCAAGCCGGTACAAGAATATCAATAAAAAGAAAGAAATATTGTCGCCTTTTATTGTTATCGACACAAATAAAAGTAACCGTAGACTTATACAGTGTCAAATTATCCATCCTAAGAATGAAATGTTTATACCGGCACAGAAGTATCATCAAAAAGAAAGAAATATTGTCGCCTTTTATTGTTATCGACACAAATAAAAGTAACCGTAGACTTATACAGTGTCAAATTATCCATCAAAAGAATAAAATGTTCATGCTGGCACACAAGTATCATCAAAAGGATAGATATTGGCACCATTTATAGATGCAGACAACAAATACAGCAACCTGAAACATTCATTTCTTCACTTTTGTGTCTGAGAATCCATCTAAACTCATAAATATTATACAACATATGAAATATTGTCACTCTTTGTTGGTATCGACATAAATATCAGTAACCGTACACTTATAAATCTCTCAATTGTTGTCAAATTATGCATTCTTATAGTTGTCGACAAATGTTTTAGTAACCGTAGACTCCAAACCTGTGTAAAACTATCAATCCTCAGGTACCGAAAGGATAAAATGTTAATGCCGGTAAGTAATAACCAAGAAAATGGTCAATATTGGCACCCTATATTGCTGAATGCAACAAATATAGCACTTCAAAACATTTATTCTTTCACTTTTATGTCTGACAATCCATTTGAATGTATCAAATGTCCTCTATTACCAGGCCAGTACAAGAATATTATAACAAAGATGAAATAGTGTCGCTTTTAATTGTTTCGCGACATAAATATTAGTAACCGTACACTTATAATTCTCTCAATTTGTGTCAAACCATTCATTCTTAGATTCAAATAATGATGCCGGACCAGAAAAATCAGGAAGAAGGGAAGATATTGGCACCTTTTGTTGATACCGACAACAAATTTTGTTATTTAAACTCGTTTTCATTCCCATTTAATGTCAAACAACCCATCAGGATGTATTTAAAAGTGCTCAATTATAAGGCCAGTACCAGAATATCATTCAAAAGAAGAAATATTGGCTCTTTTTATTCTTGTCGACAAAAGTTTTAGTATAACCGTAGACTTACGAAGCGCTTAATTTTTGAAAAAATTTTCATCGCGAGGTACATAAAGAATAAAATTATTATGCCGGTAGAGAATATTCAAGGAAAAGGGTCAATATTGGCCCAAGATATTGATGAATACAACAAATATAGCAGCTTGACACTTAAACTCCTTCATGAAAGGCTATCATTTCTTAACATTTAGGTGGAGCACATTGGATCGTTGTACCACAGTTTCTGACACGTTTTCTTCGGCGACCTATAACTTTTGAATGCCCCGATACATTTTCAATACCAAGACACCAAAATGTGCGCAATTGAATTCCCTTTCCAAAACGCTAAACAGTTTATAAATCAGACGGTCAACAACAGAGATACGATTTTTTCAAAGTTTGCCTATAAGCCTTAACAGATTATCTCCCCTGAATTTCAATATGCAAATTTTGGCATACCTTCTTCAGGAAATTGTTACAAAAAGACTACTATATATACAACTAAGTATGTATTACTATAGGGGGACCCTTGAATCCAAAACATATCGGCGCATGCGCACTTGAAAGGGTTAGGGTTTGAAAAAAAAGATCCGGCTAACCCTAACCCTAACCCTAACCCTAAACCCTAAACCCTAACCCTAACCCTAACCCTAATCAACTTGGATTTTCATCAAACTATACAGCTATCTTGGTAACATATTGATCTTACTGAATCAAAGGTCATTATGTAGTTTGGTGTTTTGCTGTCAAATTTAATCTAGGTCAAAAAAGCTAGGATTTGCAATTTTGGACAAAATTCAGATAGTACAATTTAATTTATTTTATAACTTTTTCAAATCGACTGGGATTTTCATCAAACTGCACAGCTATCTCAATTACATATTGTTCTTACAAATTCTAAAGTAATTTGCCATTTTGGTGTATTCCGGTCAAATTGTATGTTTATTTGATAGGTGGAAACAGGTACAATTTTCGGTTCAGAGTAAATTCAGATGGTCAACCTTAAACATTTCTATAACTTTCTCAAATGTATTTGGATGTTCATGAAACTTGACAGCTATCTCAATGACATACTGTTATTACTAACTGCAAAGCAATTTGGCATTTTGTTTTATTCAGATCAAATTATATATTTTAATTGATAGGTGAAAAAGGAGCTAAAATTGTCATTTCGCACTCAAATCAGATAGTCACCCTTAAAAATTTCTATAACTTTTTCAAATCAACTGGGATTTTCATCAAAGTGGACAGCTATCTTAATTAGATATTGTTCTTACAAATTACAAAGTAATTTGCCATTTGGGTTGATTACTGTTAAACAGTATGTTTTAATTGAGAAGTGAAAAGACCTAGAATTTTCACTTCGGACTAAATTCAGATAGTCGCCGTTAAAAATGTCTATAACTTTTTCAAATCAACTTGGATTGTCATAAAACTTGACACCTATCTCAATTATATACTGTTCTTACACATGACAGAGTCATTTGGCATTTGCGTTGATTACTGTGAAACGGTCGGTTTTAATTGAGAAGCCAAAAAAGCTAGAATTTTAAGTGCGCACTAAATTCAGATAGTCAACCTTAAACATTTCTGAAACTTTTTCAAATCGACTGGGATGTTCATCAAAGTGGACAGCTATCTCAATTAGATATTGTTCTTACAAATTACAAAGTAATTTGGCATTTTGGTTTATTTCGATCAAATTGTATGTTTCATTGATAGGTAAAAAAAGTACAATTTTCGGTTCAGACTCAATTCAGATAGTCAACCTTAAACATTTCTATAACTTTTTTTGTTAGAAATGGCCTTCAAAAGTCACTTTTCATATTTCTCTACATATTTCAGTGAGACTAACATTTTTTCAAATGTGTATTTTATTGCCAGCAGAATGATGTATAGTTTGATATGGTTAGTACTATTTCAGTCAAAAGTGATTTTTATAATTTAGAAGATTTGTTATTTTCACTAACCTGACATTCAAAAGTCACTTTTTATCAAGACTAACATTTTCAAAAAGTTAACTTTATTGCGAACCAAATCATCCATGCCTCGATAGGCTTATAACTTTTTTTGGTAAAAAGTGGTTTGATACTTTTTACTTTTTTTTCCACGAATGTCCTACAAAAGTCACTTTTCTTATATGTCAACATTTTTCAGTGAGACTTCAAAATTGTCAAATGAGTATGTTATTGCGAACGGAATGGTGTATAGTTTGATAATGTTATTACTATTTCTGTCAAAAGTTATTTTTATATTTTTGAAGATTTCTTTTTTGTTGTAAAGAAATAACCTGCAAAAGTCACTTTCCTTATTTCTCAACATTTTTCATCAACATTAATATTTTCGAAAAGTTTACTTTATTGCGAACCAAATCATCTATGCCTCGATAGGCTTATTACTTTTTTTTTTGGTAAAAAGTGGTTTCATACTTTTTACTTTTTTTCCCTACAAATGGCCTTCAAAAGTCACTTTTCTTATTTCTCAACATTTTTCAGTGAGACTAAAAAATTGTCAAATGTGTATGTGATTGCGAACAAAATGATATATAGTTTGATAAGGTTATTACTATTTGTGTCAAAAGTGGTTTTTAAATTTTTGAAATTTTTGGTTTTTTTTTAAGAAATAACCTTCAAAAGTCACTCTTCTTATTTCTCAACATTTTTCATCAAGACTAACGTTTTCGAAAAGTTTACTTTATTACGAACTAAATCATCCATTCCTCGATAGGCTTATCCATTTTTTTTGGGTAAAAAGTGGTTTCATACTTTTTACTTTTTTTTCCACAAATGGCCTTCAAAAGTCACTTTTCTTATTTTTCAACATTTTTCATCAAGACTAACGTTTTCGAAAAGTTTACTTTATTGCGAACAAAATCATCCACACCTGATAAGGTTGTAACTATTTTTTTGTATAAAGAGGTTTAATAATTTTTTTTTCTCTCACAGAAATGGCCTTCAAAAGTCACTTTTCTTATTTCTAAACATTTTTCAGTGACACTGACATTTTTCAAATTCTTATTTTCTCCCAAGCAAAATGATATATGGTTTGATATGCTTATAAATACTTTCAGTAGAAACAGGTCTTCATATGTTTAAAGATGTATTATTTTTTTTCAGAAATGCCTTTCAAAAGCTAGTTTCCTTCATTTTCAACATATCTTAACGAATTTTCCCACAAAACCATCAGCAATTATTCACAAAGAAAGCCAGCCCATTCAATAATGATTCGTCGACTCTTACACACTTTAATTTGAGATTTTATATGTAAAACCTACAAATTTTACAATGTTTTTTAACAAAAATTGCATCTTGCAACTTTATTTAAAAACTCACTTTTGTCATTCTTTACACGTTAGAAACTACAGTAACAGACCAGTAATAGAACATGCCACCCAAGGTAAAGGTAAGCACATCTTAATTGAAATGTTTTTCTGCATGTTGTTAATTTTTAGTCGAATGGTTTTAAAAGTGGTTTTTAAATTTTTGAAGATTTTTTTTTTTTTTTTTTTTTACACAAATGGCCTTCAAAAGTCACTTTTCTTATTCTTCAACATTTTTCATCAAGACTAACGTTTTCGAAAAGTTTACTTTATTGCGAACAAAATGATATATAGTTTGATAAGGTTATTACTATTTCTGTCAAAAGTTATTTTTAAATTTTTTTGAAGATTTTTTTTTTTTTTTTAAATTACCTTCAAAAGTCACTTTCCTTATTTCTCAACATTTTTCATCAAGACTAACATTTTTCAAAAGTTGACTTTATTTTGAACAAAATCATCATTGCATTGATAGGGTTAGAACTTTTTTTTGGTAAAAAGTGGTTTAATACTTTTCATTTTTTTTTCTAAAAATGATCTTCAAAAGTCATTTTTTTATTTCTCAACATCTTTCATCGAATCTAACTTTATTGCGAACAAAATCATCCATACCTTGATAAGGTTGTAACTATTTTTTAGTATAAAGTGGTTTAATATTTTTTTACTTTAATATGTTTTATTTCAAAGGAAATGATTTATGGTTTGATAACGGTATTACTATTTCAAATGTAAAGTGGTGGTAATAATATGTGAACGCATATCAACTTAAAACATTTAACATTTTTCCATTACAGTGCAATCAGTGTCAGAAAGAGTTCTCCAGTAGATCTGGGTTGAAATACCATGTAGAGAGTATTCATCAGGGTGTGAAGTTTACCTGTGATCCATGTGGGAAAGAGTTCACCAGAAAAGAAAAACTACGTGCCCACCTTCTGAAAAGGCATTCCCAGGTACAATATATGATATCAGTATGCATTTTCTGTTAAATTAGATAAGAAGGTAATTTACGCCGCTTTCTATTATTTAATGAATTTGAATCACTTGATCCTACCGGCGTGACAATGAGATAAAAATTTGACGTTGTCTACGGTCCGGGGTAGTATTTATGAACGAAATATTGTGATACTAATAAAGTTTATGTTTTTATTAATCAGGAAAAGAAGAAAACAGAAAAGAAGGCCCGTGTAAGTTGTCTTTATTTATATTACTGGAATGAGGTATTAACTGTTATGAAATGAAAGTCAGTAATGGATAAAAAATAATCCCAAATTCAAACAATAAAGAATATCTTTGATTAACAAAGAGAAAAACAAATTGACAAGTAACTGCAAGTCATGGGAATCGGTAGGAGATGATTTGTCACTGAAGATGACATATTGACATTTTGGAAGATTATTTTTATTTACATTTACATTTATAATCCGTTCATTTCTTTATTAACAGTGTGCAAAGTAGCCAATTATAGATAATATTTGTAGGTATACAGATGCCAGGTTTGCAGTGTAGTGTTTGCCGGCACAGGTGCACTGTCCAATCACAGAAGAACCCATTTAGCAACTGGATTCACCTGTACCTGTGGGAAAGAGTATACCAGAAAAGAAAGCTTGGTTAACCACCAAAAAAAGAAACACCAGCAAGTAAGTTACAAATAAATGTTGTGATTTGAGCAAGTATAACCCTTTTCAATTTATACATGTTTTTTTATGTATTTCATTATATGTTACCATATTTAGGTAATTATTTAATATTTCGTTATATAACATATACACAAAATATTGCAGCAAAGAAATGTTGAACGTAACAATGTTCAAATGTTTATGGCCAGCTGGATATCCGTGGACGTAATGGTCGTTCTTTTGGCGTTAATTGCTCACAAGTCACTGCCTGTAAACAATCCTACAAGGTAAGCTTCGTCATTGGCTTCCTAAAACAAATATGTAAAATGATAATGAGGAGTACAATTTGTGTTATATGTTAATAATGTACAGAATTAATCGTAAAATATAGAAATGTTTACGCTCATGTCTTATAACATTGTATGTCATTTTGCAACTGAAATGTAATAAACTCAAATGCTCTGTAAATGAAATAAAATGCTTAACAGGTCGCACCTTTAAACGACCACAGATGTCGAACATTGAACATTTGGGCCAAGCATAAACACTACATTCAAGCTTGATACAGCTTTAAATTTGTGATTACATATTTAACACACCATATGTATCTAACACAGAATGAATGTGGTCAAAGAACGCAACAAATTGAAATTGGACCTATTGGTCAATATATAAAATCATAATTAGTGTATTACTGTATACTGACTTCCTCAGGTTTTTCACTTTGTCCCTTAGTTGCGTCAAGGTGAATTCATTCTTCTTGAAGACTCCTTCATCCAATCCTCTAGACAACATTATTTTTAATGCGATTTCATTCACTGACCAATTTAGGATTGCTGCAATCGACCCCACGAATTCACTCTGTTCTTCACTGAAAATAACTGAAATAAGATGCAGATGAAAAGGTTTAATGTTCACTGTAATACTTGTAAGCTTTTTAGGGGAAGTGGCCAAACGTAGAATGATATCTACGGAAGACAGCAACCCTTATTCTAATTACAATTACGCTTTTTTACATTATTTTGTCCTGCTGTCCTTAATGTACATGTGTTGTAACACTCTACAGATTTGTGAAAACATTGAATAATTACGGGTACCAAAAGATGAATACTCCGGAAATTAAAATTTAAATTTCAACCAAAATTTCTGAAAACTCATGAACTATCTTTAACCAAAATGAGATGCAGACAGAAATATGTAATACAGTATGTTTTTCAGACCAGTGGGAATATTTGAAGGCCATGTGGAAAAAAATCTTTCAGTCCTTCGCAAATGGTTTACAAGGAATATTGATTTAAAGTCCTTACCTTTACTTTTTGCAAGAACTGGTGCTGTAAAAACAAAACATTCAAAATCTTACAACCTGATTCTTGCAGAGTATGGAAAAAATCGTATCCAGTTAATTTGGAACCCCATTACTACTGTAAGAAATATCAGCCCGTAAAAGTACAACCATGTTGTAATTCATTTAAGTTACACACTTCATTAGAAGGGGTTTAATAGATAACATCAATACGAATACTTCGAGACATCTTCAGGTATAGTACATTATGGAAAAAGTATGATTTAGGTGTCACATATAAGAGAAGAAATGACAAATATCATCACCAGAAAAATATGTACATTGGTACATATTATATCCCGGAAGTTTATGTGTATCAGTTTACGTAGTATCATCATTAAGAAAGTCATACGTTTTCAGTATTTTGGTAACACGCGTACGCGTATAACTGATGGCTATTCTCCAATAAATCTTATTTTTAAAGTAAGCACACAACAATGTCAAATGTCATTTGAGATCAGTATTCTATAGTAAACTTAAGTTGATCGTCTGATGTTTATATACCTCATTACAAATGATTCTGATACAGTAGTAGTGGCGATGTTTGCTATTTCTTTAGAATCACAATTTCATTTCAGCTTTTAAGACAATCGAAAAAAAAAGAAACTCACCCGATGGCGTTTGTTCACCTTCGCCTAAAATATACAATAATTTGCATGTCAAATATAAAGGATGAAACGAAAGATTCAGAACACAAGGAAATTATATGTATTGATACATAGTACATCCCGGAAGTATATGTGTATCAGTTAACGTAGTCTGTACATGTTCAGTAATTTAGTAACACCCATATCACTATATATTCTCCCATAAATCTTAATTTTAAAGTTAGCAAACAGCAATGCAGATTGGCATTCACATTCATTACTGCCATATTCATGAACATTTACCCTAGCCAGGGAATATCTGTACTTTCAGTTGTATATGTGATGATAACGACATATGGATAACACTTACTACTTTTTCTTTTCAGTACTGTGGAGGCTGCAGTTGCAACATCTGACACTATAATATAAGAAAATTAAAATGTTATGTCAGAGAAGAAGTAGCAATCAAAGCTATGTAAAAATGTAACCATTTAGATACAATATGTTATAAATAGCTGATATGTAAATTGCATGTTGTATTTAAGACAGCATTAAATGTTTTTAAAACAATGTGTTCGCCTCATTTTTACATTCTGAAGTCAAAGAATTACAAAACACTTGTAAAACGCACTCGTACAGGCATCGGTTTATCGTTGTATTCATGTGCCATTATGCACTCTGTTTGCAATCAATCATAAGGTATGGGCATAAATGTTATCTAAGGAAAAATGATTTGCAGGCAAACCTTCAGTGGGTATGACTAGAAGTCAGGGAAAAGGTAAAATTCATTAAAATTATCTTCTTATGTTGAAATACATATTTACAAAAGATTTTTGGATTGGGATAGAATAGATCTGTCGATGTTTGCTATTTAATAAACACCTAACTTTAATTTGAGCTTTGAACACAAGCTGACAAAGACATTACCAGATGGCTGTTGTTCAACTTGATCTGAAATATACAAGACTGCGAAGTTCAGACGTAATGGATAAAATGAAGAAACCCGCACACAAGGAAACTTTTTCAGTAAATAAGTATCAAGCGTATAACTGTCAGAATTTTCTCCTACAAATCTTATTTCTACTGTTAGCACACCACAATGAGAAAATACATTAAAAATCAATATTCCATATAAAACTTAAATTGATCATTTGATATTTATATACATCATTACAAATGATTTGGATGGTAAATTCAGGCATTTAAGAGTTGTTCAGTTTAAAATGACCGTTTCAGTAGTAAACCCCGTTACTAGTGTATATACCACCATTCCCTATGTGAAATTGAAAACAAATAATCCACAATGCTTTTCAATATGAAAATGGTAGCATACGCTATAAATTTATTACTTTGGGATACCATACGGCATATTTTGTGAACAAAAAGGTAAAACATGCTGCACAGCGGAACAAGTGATCAGTAAGCTTGAGCTTCTTATTGACAACATATTTGTTGAATTTAAAAGTAGACTTTTTCAACAGATTGTCGGCGTTCCAATGGGAAAGAACTGTGCGCCTCTCCTTGCCGACCTCTTCTTAATTTCATATGAGTCGGAGTTCCTTCAGACACTTGTTTAAAACAAGAAGATCAATGAAGCCAGATCATTTGATTTCACATTCAGATATATTGATGATGTTCTTTCTATTAATTATCCAAACTTTTCTGATTGGGTTCCATTAATATATCCTCCATAACGAGAAAATAAAGAAACAACAGACACGGCTTCCTCCGCCTCATGTTTAGACTTATACCTCGAATTTGACATAAGCGGTCATCGCAGTACCAGAATCTATGACAAACGAGTCGCTTTTAATTTAGAAATTATCAATTTCCCCCACCTTAGTAGCAATAGACCAACTTCACCTGCATATGGGATATACATTTCCCAACTCATTCGGTATTCAAGAGCTTGCAGCTGCTAATCAGACCTTATAAAATGTCACCAGTGTCTGAGCAGAAAGTTGATGAACCAATGTCATGTCAAAGAACGTCTCGTCCTTTTTCTAAAAAAGTTCATCGGAAGATACCAAGACCTTGTTGATATATATTCCGTATCAACTTCACAAATGATACATGATGGTCTTGAAGTATAGATTCTAGGTACTGACGTTGTTTATCATCTTAATTACGTGTTATAGTGTTCTTTTATTTGTCTTTGTAAATTATTACCTTTACTGTTTAGTCCATTTTTGTTAATATCCAATTGGCGTGGCTCGGAACATCGCATCATTTTGTTATTGTGCTATGGTCAATTTTTGTATTCTTGTCTATCATTTTTGCTTATGTGCTTTGTCTATATGCCATTTTTTTTCCTTTTTTGGCATATTTGTTTGTTTTTATAGTGATTAAGATTATATCACAATGTTGACTGCTGTATCCCTATTTTTGACATTGTTACCCATTGTGTCTGTGTTTTGTTCACACATTGTTGTCAATACAATGGAATTTCATGCGACTGTCATACAAGTGAGAGGTTTAGCTTGCTATAAAACCAGGTTTAATCCACAATTTTCTACATAAGGAAATGCGTTTTAGATTCTCAAAATTTCAATATTTGTTAAAGAACATACTTCTAGTATCTAATTCTCTTTCCTCTAATAACATTTAACTTGTTACCCTCTACACTTATCCCTATTCTAAACTTAAGGACATGTTGAAAGACTTAGTACAACTCTATTCCATGAAAACGACTAACCAACGTAGATATAAATATCTTGTTGAAGTGTTGGATATGTACAACTTTGTAAAGTTTTCACGTACCGAAGGTACGCAACTGTTTTACTCTGGGTTTGTCTTAGAGTCGATTCTCTGGATATAGCAAGGCTCAATAATTGGTAGCGTTACTTTGTTTAATTGGATATTCGGGCACCTAATACCTAGACGATGGGCGCCGAGTTTGAGTAGAGTTCAGGTTGTTAGACGATAGGTACCAAGGATGATAAGTTTACGTTAAAGACGTCCATATTTGGTATAATGCTTTTCTTAATATCAAGGCTTTATCTAAATTTTACTTTGCTTAGCCAGTTCTTTCTAAAAGCCACGGCTTATTAATTACGTACTTGTGGCTACTGCTTATTGGCTACTTCTTGGTCTGAGCCACTGCTTTACTTGTGACCACTACTTATTAAACTACTTTGCCTGAGTCACTGCTTTACTTGCAATCAATGCTTCACCTTGCGGAAATGCTTCACCTTATGGCCAATGCTTCACCTTGTAGCCAATGCTTTTCCCTGAAGCCACTGCTTCTTCAGCAGCTATAACTAATAAAAAAAACTTGATTCATTATTCAGGAACGCTGCTTAAACTAATCTTACCTTTAGTCTGTATTTTCCAACTTGACGTCTTCGAATTCTACACTCAGAACAAACTAAACTGTGAAAACCTTGGTTTATATGTCAAATGGCAGACTCGTCTAAAACGACTTTATCCCTAAAATGTTTTACAACACCTAAGCATAAGATTACAAAGCGTTATTGTGGCGGTTATACAATTTGTTACAACTGATCGCGGGAATTGCGGATTTATAGTTCAGTTCCAGACTCGTTAAACAAATACTAATCACCTAGTAAAACTATAAACAAATCGAAAGTGAAAGTAAAACAATGAGTGCATAAATCGAGGGGATGTATGATATTTCTTTCTGTTAGACTTTACAATTGAATTATAGAATAAGTATCGATCCTTTAAATAAACTCTTCTAAAAGGTTACCAATTCAACACTATAATTAGATCTTTGAATATTGTTTTGTTAGAATTAATATTGATTTTGTTGTCACTAAATTCAAATAAAACTAAAATATTATTTTATATACATATGCACATTCATGGCTCTCCAATTTGTCGATACCTGTATCTTGGCATGAACTTTTAATTTTGTGCTTTATCTATTACCACGAAATCCAATATTTGGTATCCCAAACACTAATGAATCCAAAGTAGCAGACATCCACCCATCAACCAAAAATTAACAAATGTCTTAGGGCCAACATATACTTATAAAAAAGTTTTTTTTGAAATTTTAACTAGAAAATAAAAAAAAATAAGATGTGGTATAGTAGTTGCCAATGAGACAAAGACCCACCAGAGACTAGATGACCTAGAAGTTAAACAACAGGTCACCGTACGGCCTACAGCAATGAGTAAAACCAAGAATGTATATATAAATCCTTGGCAGAACCCAAACAGCATATTTTCTCCAAAGAAAATTTGGTCACAAAGATTGAACCTTCCAGACTGTAATTTTGTAAAATAACCTATTTCATCTCGATTATGCGTGCACTGTGTTTATTATGTTAGTCTCATAGACATTCACACGATACAAAGACCTTTCAATTTGCATTTGTAGTGAATAAAACCATGTAACCACGTTCCTCCTTGCTCTTTACCGACAACGAACACCTAAAAAAACAATTGCATGTACCACCAAACGTTTTTGGTGTTATTTAAGCATGTATGCATATATTTCAAATATGTTGTTAATATCTGTTTCCTTGTCAACCATGTCAACAGAAACCACTTATAACTACACTTTTTTGTACATAATTTGTGAAAGGGAACCCCCACGGGCTATGATTACCGGGAAAGAGTAACAATAAGAAATAATTATTGTTACTTCCGAGACTAGTTGCCGAAATGTTTTTAAGGACAGGGACCTGATTTCACACGGAAATTGCAGGAAACAATAACATCGTTTAAATACAAATATATGATTTTGATTTTGACCCCATTCATAAAATATCACATTTTTTTTCTGGTTCAATAATCACAATTTACAAAAATACCGTTACAGATCCGGACACGTGCCAAACTGCCCCTTTTAAATTTGATTATACGACTTTACAAGAGAAGAAAGGCAAAGGATACCAAAGGGACAGTCAAACTCATAAGTCGAAAATAAACTGACAACGCCATGATTAAAAAGGAAAAAAGACAAACAACAGCACACAAAATTAACCTAGAAAACCAAAGACTGATAAAAACGAATTCAAACCCCACCAAAAACTTGGGAGTGATCTCAGGTGCTCCGGAAGTGTAAGCAAATCCTGCTCCTCATGTGGCACCCGTCGTGCTGCTCATGCAAGTTCAAACCCGGTGATATGTCTAATCCTGTAGGTCATATATATGTG